GCACACTCTTCAACTTTTAAATCGATTATGCTTCTTTAAAAAGACGGTTGCTATCAACTTGCTAAATGAGACTACAGGCGGCGTCGGGGACATTATACGTCATCGAGCTGATCTGGTCTGGAGCGCAGCTCGCTTGTGTTGGGCGTTTGGATTTGTCTGTGATTTAAGTATTTTCATGAATATTATTTTATAGTTTGTTGTGTTATTCTAATTGAGAATTCAGATTGTGTGCAGATAATTCCTTCACATGTAAAGGCTGTCGAGACAGACTAATTTGTTGATCATTTATTTTAATTAAACGATAATATGAAGATACTGCTTACCAGTGCAGCCTGTTTCTTTCCTGCTCTCAGTAATGCAAACGTGTAAATAAATGTGGAAAAATACAGACATATTAACTGTCATTTTAACGTGATCAAGTGATTTCTCGTCTTTTTTTCTTCATCTGATCACATTTAACTGCAGTATTTACACTCCATAAAACGTTCAGCAGATGTGACTGTATGGGCTGATTAGGAATATTGAATGTTGGAATATTGAATGTTGCCATGATGATGAAACTTGCAGGCATTTGATAGACTTGTTCCTCCTCACGCCTAATTTCTGTCGTCTGTTTAAGGTAAGCGGGCTGTGTGCACGCGAGCGATACACTTATTTAAATATGTCTTATAATAATACTATATAGGCACATTTATACACATTTTTAAAACTGTTAAAACAACCGCAAAGCAAAACAGACGTATTTCCCACGGAAAAACGATCCAAAAGGCGCAAAGGTCTATGTGTGTTTGCGTATTTATTAGTTTATAATATATAGCGTGGATTACAATATAATAAACAGAGAGATTAGTTCTTTGTAATGGACGTTATTTCTAAAAATAAGTTTGATAAGTTGTCTGTAGAAGAGTGTGGGGCTGACGTCACAGGCGAGCGCCCCGAGGGCTCTGTAGTCCGTTTATAGCCTAATGTTAGCTTTTCAATTCTTGCGTTTGCATTTAAGATCCAAAAGTGTTGAAAGTTGTATTTTCGTGTGACAATTATCCGGCTGGACAAAACGTGTAAGTGTAATGAACAGTGTTTGAACACAGAGCTTATTATTTGCAATCTTCGAAAACCCTATTGGAAAATCCTATAGGGATTTTCACGAGGGAACCAGTTTTATGCTAGCAGCGGATTAGCCTACAAAGTGATGTCATAGTTCCTCCACTCTATTGGAGCTCTACAAAAAAAAGTATGCACACATCACTCCTATTCTGAAGTTTCTACATTGGCTACCGGTGACACAAAGAATCAAATTTAAAATCCTTCTCTTTGTGTATAAAGCCCTACATGGTCTAGGCCCTCATTATTTATCCCAACTGATTGTTAATTACACTCCACCAAGACACTTGCATTCCGCTGATCAGTTTTTATTAAAAGATCCAAAAGCCCACCGCAAAAGTAGGGGCGAACGTGCTTTTGCCATAGCAGGTCATCGCCTCTGGAACTCTCTGCCATTAGAGCTAAAAAGGCTTCGTCGCTGCCTGTTTTAAGTCTAAATTAATGACGCATTTATTTTCTAGGTGTTTTGAAGCAAAAGTCCTTCCCTTTCAGAAGGGGGGGGGGGGGTGGTTAATGGGGAGGGGGATCAAAACAGTCATGTTCTCTATCGTGTTTAGCGTTGGTCAACTATGGTAGCATCTTTTAATTAGAAAAAAAAATATTCTATTATTATTATTTTCTGTTTTTTTATTTTGCTCTTTTATTGATAATCTTTCTATGTTCCTTCCTATTATGTGCCTATTGCTGTTTTTACAGTTTCATGCTCATATCATGTGTTTATTTTCTCTCTGTAAAGCACTTTGTGCTGCCTTGTGGCAGTTGGAAACGTGCTATATAAATAAATAGAACTTGAACTTAAATTTGAGCTCTCTTAGGTTAAAGCAAAAATAATTTGCTTGTGATTAGGGGTGTCACGATATCGATTTTAAATCGAAATCGATCGAAATTTATGCTCAATTTCGATTATCGAATCAAGAAATAGAATCGTCGATGCTGCCACGCCCCCATGTCACGTCAGCTTGGCTTGCCATGTGGGAAAAACAGGCTTGTTGAAGAGCTTATTAAACTGCAGAAGCAGGAGACCCGTCGACAGAACTTAAACCCTCTCCTCTTTCAATGAAGTCGCCGGTGTGGAAGCATTTTGGATTTCCAGTGAGTTATGTTGACAACGTTCGTGTTGTCAACAAAAAAAGCACAGTTTGCAAGCTCTGCTATGTATGTATTAATAGGGTTCGTCCGATAGTCCTCCGCCCTGCCCCCGCTCGCGAAAAGTACACACTCAGGCCCTGTTTACACTAATATGTCTGTTTTTAAAGGGTATTTTAGAACGACAACGATTTGACATCCACACTGGCGTGTAGCATTTCTGAGCAGCCCTCCTTCCTCACTACCGCTGAAAACGCACATCACGTGACCTTACACACACTCATTCACACACAGAAACAGACGCACTCGCAGCCATGCGCTCCAGACAGCAGGTCCAGGCAGTCAGAGGACTGCTTCAATCTTTCACTCACTTGTACTTTGTCATTTTAGCGAACACCTCAGATACTGTTGGCTGGTTCTTGTTGATAGTGCGTCTTTTTTACCGACGCCATTATAACGACACAGATCACTGCCTATTCACGAGTCCCGCAGAAAAAGTGATTGACAGGTGGTAATTATGTGTGTATCTTGCCTTTATTCATTTACTGTATGATTTGTTTATGGGTAAAACAAAGACCATGCAGGTCAGGTAGTTTAAACGGTAGGCTACAAATAATTAATTGGTCATTAATTAATTAATTATTCATAATCGAGAGTTGAATCGAACCGTGACTTTAGAATGGAAAATGTATTCGAATCGAGGATTGTGAGGATCGTGTCACCCTTACTTGTGATGTGTATTTTTCCCCAGATTGATATTACAATTTAAAAAGGTGGTCTCCATAGATATATACACTAGATGTCGCCTGGCCTATTGTTGTCTATCGGACGGAATGCATCAATAGCGCCGCCATCTTTGTACAGGGTAGCGCTCCTTTGAAATGAATGCGGGACCAAGGTACAGTGGAGGACTGTGGCCATCCAAAGCCAGAGATATACACATATACACATATATCTATGATCGGGAGTTTTCCTGGATGTTAGTATGCAATGTTTTTTTCTAATTAGGAAAATTATAATTTTACATCACTTTTCTACATTGATGGATCAGTGACCGCACGGGCATTCCTGACAAAAAGCTTGTGTTTGTGTGTACAGAAATGTACTATCCACCCTCCCTGTTAAATTTGATCTAATCATGTCCTGAAACACACCTCCTCTCCTCTGCTTTCACTTCTCTGATGGAGGGAGCGATTCGTTTGTGAATGAATCCCCCGAACGACTCTTTCACTAACGTTAGCGACAATAATACAAGTTTCTGGCAGCGCAGCATCTCGTTGTCATATTTCTTTTGCATTGTTTGCTGATTTTATTCAACAAAACTAGCATAAGCCGAGTGTTTAGTGCGAGTTGGAGCTGCTTTGCCGTATGGTGAATGCAGTAAGTGACTGTCATCATCAATAACGTTACCTGATTAGCACAAAAGTTCAGAACATACAAAAACAGAAAAAAACATAATATTACCTATGAAATGTTCTGCCTTTGTGCTTTGTTTACTTTGTTTGCTCGTTACTACACCCGTAGACAGCGCTAAAGTCCCGCATCTTCACGTAATAACACTGTCTTGACTAGTGCGGTTGAATGACATTTGTCCTGGGAGCACTGTACCAATGTGGCGGCGCTATTGACGCATGCTCAGGGTCCCTATGCGATATCTAGTGTATATATCTATGGGTGGTCTTTGCCAACTCTACAGTGCACCAAATGCTGCAGATATTTGCAATTCAATTCAGCTTTATTTGTATAGCGCTTTTACAGTGTAGATTGTGTCAAAGCAGCTTCACATAAATGGTCATAGTAACTGGATCAGTTTTTAGTGTTTAAGTTCAGTTCAGTTTAGCTCAGTTCAGTGTGGTTTGAAGTCATTACTGAGAGTCCAAACACTGAAGAGCAAATCCATCGATGAGTAGCTTTTCAGATCCTGAACCATGCGAGCCAGTGGCGACAGCGGATACTTCCAGATGTTTTTTTGCTCTAGAAATAAAAAATCTCCCCAACAAGAATGTAAAGCATTTATTTTATTTGATGTTATTTTCTATGTAAAAAATAATTATTACTCCATTTTTTCAGGATTGTTTTGTGAGTAGAAAGTTGATTAGAATATCTTTTATTCAAAATAGAAATCTAATGTAGCGTCTTTTGTAGCATTCTTAATACAAGATAAGTAAATAAGTCACTAATTCAGTCAGTCATGAGAGCAGTAATTGCTCCACTGACCCACTGAAACAGTATTGTGTACTCTGACTGTTGTCTATTGCTGGATTCTCTGGCTTCTCTTATCTGTGATGGGCTTGAGGTTAATCTGTAATGTCTGTTAGCATGTGTTGCTGTGGTTGAGGGAGTGTCTTGACTTTCACTCATTAGCAGAAATCCTCCCCTGCTGACCCTGGACCTGTGGGACTGATTTAGCGCTGGGTTGTGTCAAATGTTCAGACGGGAGGATTCATGAAGTGTGTGTGTGTGTGTGTGTGTGTGTGTGTGTGTGTGTGTGTGTGCATGTGATCTTGGATAACAAGTTCATTGACTGCAGTCTTGTATTATACGCATATTGAAATAAGAATATTGCCAAATATTTCAAAATAATTAGCAATTAGTCCTTGAAATTTTCATTATTATTATTTTTACTATTATTAAAAAATGATGCACAGATCAGTTTATTGAATTCATATTATATAATTTGCTTATTGTTCACTTTGCTTTTAAAAAGTGTTTAATTATATGCTCAAATGTATAAGCAGATCATAAAATATTTTTACAAATTATATTTCTTTTTTTTTTTGTGTTTATAAATCATTTTTGTTTGTTTGTTTCAGAGTCCAAAACAGGAAGCTGAACAGGAAGTGTGTGAGGTCTCAAAGGAAGAGAAAGTTACAGACACACCAACGCGAAGAGTCGGACGACCTGCTCGAAAACGCAAAGCACCTGCTGTGAGTACTTAAAAATAATAATGTAATAATGTTAGATTGCCCCCCTGGCCATCGAGAACAAGGAGGAGGAGAACTGATAAACTTCTAAACCATTTTGATAACACGCATACATTTACCGGCCTCTTTATTAGGTACACCTGTCCAACTGCTCGTTAATGCAAATTTTAATCAGCCAATCACATGGCAGCAACTCAGTGCATTTAGACATGTAGACATGGTCAAGACGATCTGCTGCAGTTCAAACAGAGCATCAGAATGGGGAAGAAAGGTGATTTAAGTGACTTTGAACGTGGCATGGTTGTTGGTGCCAGACGGGCTGGACTGAGTATTTCAGAAACTGCTGATCTACTGGAATTTTCACACACAACCATCTCTAGGGTTTACAGAGAATCTTTAGAATAAGAGGAAATGTCCAGTGAGCGGCAGATCTGTGGGCGCTAGTGCCTTGTTGATGCCAGAGGTCAGAGGAGAATGGCCAGACTGGTTCCAGCTGATGGAAATACAACAGTAACTCAAATAACCACTCGTTACAACCGAGGTCTGCAGAAGAGCATCTCTGAACACACGCAGATGGGCTACAGCAGCAGAAGACCACACTGGGTGCCAATCCTGTCAGCTAAGAACAGGAAACTGAGACTACATTTCACACAGGCTCACCGAATTTGGACAGTAGAAGATTAGGAAAACATTGCCTGGTCTGATGAGTCTCGATTTCTGCTGGAACATTCGAATGGTCGGGTCAGAATTTGGCGTTAACAACATGGATCCATCCTGCCTTGTGTCAACCGTTCAGGCTGGTGGTGTAATAGTGTGGGGGATACTTTCTTGGCACACTTTTGGCCCATTAGTACCAATTGAGCATCATGTCAATGCCACAGCCTACCTGAGTATTGTTGCTGACCATGTCCATCCCTTTATGACCACAGTGTCCCCATCTTCTGATGGCTACTTCCAGCAGGATAACACGCCATGTCATAAAGCACAAATCATCTCAGGTCTGGTTTCTTAAACATGACAATGAGTTCACTGTAGTCAAATGGCCTCCACAGTCACCAGAGCTCAATCCAATAGAGCACTTCTGGGATGTGGAACGGGAGATTCACATCATGCATGTGCAGCTGACAAATCTGCAGCAATTGTGTGATGCTATCATGTCAATACAGACCAAAATCTTAGGAATATTCCCAGTATCTTGTTGCATCTACGTCACGAAGGATTAGGGCAGTTCTGAAAGCAAAAAGGAGATCCAACCCGGTACTAGTAAGGTGTACCTAACAAAGTGGCCGGTGAGTTTAAATAAATGTTACTTTTGTCCCTACAGGAACTTTTGCCATTTAAAACTGATTTCCTTTAAAACTGCTTAACTAAGAAACTGCAAACTTAAGCATCTGTTATTGCACTAAACAACCTGTAGATTGATCGCTAGTGTGACTCATGAAAAGAGACACAACTTGTAATAAGGAAAAAAAGGGCTGCTACAATAATTTACTTTCTGCACTTAAAAACTGAAATTAGGACCAAACTGCAGGACATTCAGCTGATATTAGACAGCTCCATCAAAGGTTGCATGCTGAATGTGCTGTTATAGCCTAGAAAGCAAATGTTGTTCAGGATCCAGGAAAATCACTTTGTTCTTTCGTCCCGGCTTTCCTCTATATTTTGGATCTGCCATCGAAGCCCTAGTAGTTTTGAGACGATCATGTTCTTAACCAGGGGCGGACTGGCCATCTGGCAATTCTGGCAAATGCCAGAAGGGCTGGACCATTTTTTCAACGTGGGCCGGTCAGCTATTTTTTTTATTATTTTTTTTATATGTATTGTTTTTACATGCAGGCAGCTTTTATCTCTTGTTAGATGTGAGTATTATGATGATGATGATGATTATAGTAGTAATAATAATAATAAATGTTAAGCATTGGCCCAATCAAATGAAATAGTCTCAAAAGGGGGCAGCGCAGGGGCGCAAGAAGGTTGCTATTTCGAGCCTCAGCTGGGTGAGTTGATGTTGGAGTTTGCATGTTTATGTGGATTTCCTCCTGGTTTCCCTCACATGTGCTCTAGGTGAATTGGGTAGGCCTAATTGTCCATAGTGCATGTATGTGAATGTGTGTGTATAGGGGTTTCAAAGTGAGTTGCAACTTGGAGGGCATCTGCTGCGTAAAGCATATGGTGGGTAAGTTGGCGGTTTTTCCGCTGTGGCGATCCCTGATTAATAAAGGGACAAAGCCGAAAAGATAATGAATGAATGAATGAATGAAATGATTGCATAGATAAATTTGTTATAAATAGGTTATTTTTGTTCCAGTCACGTGCTTTAAATGTTTAAATATATATCTCACATGGTACTGCTTATATTATTTCACCATCTGTACACCAATATAAGTAGTGGATATGCGTGTTCGTGCATGGGGCTGTGTCAGTGTGGTAATGTGGGCTGGTGTGGCTACAGTGCCAGGGATGATTTTTAGTCCCAGTCCGCCCCTGTTCTTAACCCTAATAACACTAAAGGGATAGTTCACCCAAAAATTAAATCTGTCATCATTTACTCACCCTGCACTCGTCTTTATTCTGTTAAACACACAAGAAGACACTTTAAAAAATGCTGGCACCTGCTGGAAGTTAACAGTAATCACTAATCATCATTTTTCAAATTACTCTCTATTACGTTCAACAGACCAAAGACAACATTTAAGGTGGAAAACCACATAAGGAAGAGTGAATGATAAGGTAATTTTTGGGGGGTGAACTGCCTCTTTAAACTCCACTAAGCTTCAGTGAATTCAGATTGATGCTAATTTGAAAGTTTAAAAAAAAAAAACAGGAAATGGGTCACATGATACAGCCAAAAAGAAAGCCACAAAAAAATGAGCAGTTGCAGTCTGTGATGATGGTGAGTTCATTTCTATGTGTTCATAATTTTGACTAATGCTACGAAGATCATTTTCAGACATTATCAGGTTTTCTTAGATGCTGACAGTTTGTACTGTCTCTGATAGGAAATAAACCGCATGCAGGCTAACTTTCACTATAAAGTTGCTTCCGCTTGATCTGTGTGTGAACGTGTGAATGAATGTGTGCTAATATGATGCTTTTTTCCTCACCGGCCTTGTGGTAGAGAGGTGATTTCTTCATGTAAGCAGCATGTTTCAGCATCCCGGCTTTTTGCGGTTGACTGATAATCATTCTTTCATTCATTCATTTTAATTTGGGCTTAGTCCCTTTATTAATCTGGGGTCGCCACAGCGGAGTTAACCGCTAACTTATCCAGCACGTTTTACGCAGCGGATGCCCTTCCATCTGCAACCCTAGACTGGGAAAATGACTAATCAATCAAATGACGAAATTCAGATTGTTTGCCGGTGTTGGCTTCAGTGTGAACATTCTGTTAAGTGACTGTCTTCAGTCTTGTTTTGTAGTGAGCGAGACACACTGTACAATACTGGATGATTTGAATGGTCAGAAAGTCTAAAGAGAAGCTGAAGTATACAAAGAACTTTGGCGGAAGTGAGTTTTTTTCTCTCAATGCGAGTTCTGTCTTTGTTTTGAACCACATAAAGCTTATAAAATGAATTCCCCCCCCAAAATAAAATAAAGGCAAGGCAAGTTTATTAATGGCCTCGCCAATTATTATTTCCAAAGAGTGGAACGATACGGTCAACATAGGCTCATTCTGAAAAGTAGCCCTATATACGTTTCTGGAGATCACGAATTATGTAGCCAGAAGTATGTATGGCTGCATTTCCTCTTTAAAATGAAGGCTACAGGGTGGTATGACGTCGTTCCTTTTCACACTTACAAGCTGACTGCTTACCTCCATATGGACTGCTTTCCTACTGTTACCAGTTTGTCCAGTACCTTGCCATGTATGTCAGTCGACTTGAGATGCAGAGAGGGTTCGGGTCCAGTTAAGAACGGTTCCAGAAAGTGGGTAAGACAAAAACAGAATCCAAAAAATAAAATAAACATGTAAATAACAGGGTGAGAATGTGGTTAAATCTAAAAACATGGTAAAATCAGCTTTTCTTTTTCTGAATAGTTTTTTTTTTTTTTTTTGGTTGGGTTTAGAGTAGTGGGTGTGCATGTCAATCAATACACTTGGTTTGGGATTAGGGAAGGAGGAGGGTGGGTCAGTCAATCGGTCAGTCAGTCGGTCAGTTGACAGTGACCTCTAGTGGGTTTTTGCAAGAACAGCAGGCACGAATGGCACTTGCAAGAGAAATTTGAGATCTAAAAAAAGCATATACAGCGGCCTCTGGTATACAGGACGTCCCAGCAGACGAATTGATTTGAATTGAATTGAACAAATTGACAAAATTGATCTGATTAAACAATTTAAAAGAATATAAAGTTTAAAAACAATTTCAAGATTAAACACCAGCGTATTGCTCTATCCTTACAGGTCCATTGTGTAACATTGACTCCCAGTGGTTGAACTTGGTATTGCGCTCCTGGTTCAATACACTTTTTCACTCGGCCCCTCTTTGACGACTCCACGCATGAGCAGGTTGCCAGATTGATAACACCAACAGGAGCCTGTCTGACTATCGAGCCTACACTGTGTCCTAATTAATTACAAAAACAGAATCCAAAAAATAAAATAAACATGTAAATAACAGGGTGAGAATGTGGTAAAATCTAAAAAAACATGGTAAAATCAGGCTAGGGCTTTTCTTTTTCTGGATTGCTTTTTAAAATTGTTGGTTGGGTTTAGAGTAGTGGGTGTGCATGTCAATCAATACACTTAGTTTGGGATTAGGGAAGGAGGAGGGTGGGTCAGTCAATCGGTCAGTCAGTCGGTCAGTTGACAGTGACCTCTAGTGGGTTTTTGCAAGAACAGCAGGCGCGAATGGCACTTGCAAGAGAAATTTGAGATCTAAAAAAAGCATATACAGCGGCCTCTGGTATACAGGACGTCCCAGCAGACGAATTGATTTGAATTGAATTGAACGAATTGACAAAATTGATCTGATTAAACAATTTAAAAGAATATAAAGTTTAAA